TGTTAGCTTTATCATAATGGTATAACTAGAGTCTGGTGGTAAGTACTGTTAGCTTTATCATAATGGTATAACTAGAGTCTGGTGGTTAGCTTTATCATAATGGTATAACTAGAGTCTGGTGGTAAGCACTGTTAGCTTTATCATAATGGTATAACTAGAGTCTGGTTGTAAGTACTGTTAGCTTTATCATAATGGTATAACTAGAGTCTGGTGGTTAGCTTTATCATAATGGTATAACTAGAGTCTGGTGGTAAGTACTGTAAGCTTTATTACAGGTGAACAGATATTTTGGGTTATGAAAATGTACCATTTACTTATCATTGGTTGAAGCTTAAACTGTTAAGTCCCACATTTGTGTCCTTTCATGCTGAATGTACTTATATAGTTGATATAGTAGTCTGATCTTCACCAATGAAAAGCTTCAGGTAGCTTTTTGCGGCGCATTTTTACGTTCCTATAATAATATGTGACTTTGGTGCGTCATTGATATGGAGGAAATAAAATCCAGAAATCTTACAGTTAAAAAGGTGAGTTAAAATACTAAATAATCCAACAGGATCTTGCTAATAGCAGGAGGCATTGAATTAACAGGGGTCAGATCAGACCAGAACTTAGTTGAGTCTGTGTTGAACTATTTACAATTATATTATGGGGCATTTTAACTCACAGTACTAAATGATGATGTGAATTATCAATGTTAACAAACATCTCTCTTTTGCTGTATTTGCTTGATTGTTTAGTGACCAATTTTGCTTCAAGTTATTTCAGTTGTTTATCAACAAGGTTTTGGTCTTTACTTCTACCTGTATATTTACCGTTGCATGTACATCAATACATACACAAAATGTAGTGTATTGTTAACTTGCATATATATATATCTACAAATGTTCTAAAAAGAGTTTATTTGGAAAATTATTTGCAAATTTATTTATTGTTTTACTAATGGTCGGTGCTACCTCATGAAAAATGTACTCACCTTCGACCTCGAACGAAGGTACAAGTTCTATAGGTACTGCCCATGTCCACTTTCGTTTTCGTATTCTGGAAAATTGAATAATGAGAAGAAATCAGCCTATATCATAGGCATTATAAAAGCATAAATTAACCTTAATTAAACCAAAATCTTCAATTAATCGTGTAGTAAACAATATTAAGATAATGTTTTAAGAAAAAAGTCATGATTAGTTTGTCCAATGGAATAGTTCGTCTCATAATCAGTTCACTTAACTGTTCAGGTTGTTGAGTGCTCTTCGGCATGTATAATGGCTTGTAATGGATTTTTAAATCGAACAAAATGACAACCTATGTGTCAATGCTATATGATTTTTTTTATTATTATATGTTGTGGGAAATTTAGCAAACAGGCAACTTACCGACTGGGTTGAATGAATGTATGCATGCATCAATGTAACCTGCGATTTGATTGGATAAGGACAATTGTTGGTATTTCTACTTTCGTTTCTGTTGAATTATTCGACGTCCATATTAGACGAAGATGCGACCGCGCTAGTGCTGTACAGATCCATGGTGAGGTATTGGAATAATTGGAACACCTGATTATTTCGTATTTTCTGATCAAGCAATTATATTTTTCTGGTACAATGCAGAGAGGGGAGAGACCCGGTGAATATGCACAACTAAAGCCCAAAAAGATTACATTTTCAAACCGAAAGTAGATTTGACAGAGTTGAAGTTTTCAATTTCTTAAATGCTATTTTGTCATATATATGATAAAAATGGTTACAAAAACAAATAGTTTTGTGTCCCTATATTGTTTATCCCATATTATCCACCAGAGAAGTTCTATTTTGTCTTCTTCCTATTACGAGTCGAAGACCATGCAGTGTTAAATTGACTAGGCGCATTTCAGAACGAAAATTGAAATCCTTTTACATTTTAAATCCTTCTTGGTATTGTTGATTTAGATATTTCTTACATCTTGATTTGCCCTTCTGGATGATTTTAACAAATTTTACAAAAATGTTCTTGATCTTGTGGTCCTGATTAAAACCTACAGCAGTGGGAGAACAAATGGTTCAAATGCAATTCAATCCTGATAAATGTAAGGTACTACGTACGGGTTACAAACAGAAGGAAGTCACTAGTTACCACCTACAGCATCCCTGGGACCCCATTTGTCCCAGTTAAGACACCTAGTATTTTACCAGGATGACATGAACATCGCGAATATATTGATTACGGTACATTAAAGTTATACTTGAGGTGCTTAATTAGGTAGACAAGTGGTGGATTTGGACAGATTATTCTTTGTGTGGCTGATTTTTATAGAACATAAGATTACAGTCGCCTTCTAGCTTAATGCTAGAGGGAATTTATTTCCATTTAGCTCAATTGGTAGAGGGCGGTCTGGGAATCTAGGGTTTGTGGTTCCTTGTATGATGGAAACATATATAACATATATCCTTCCTTCTATATGGCTAAAGAGAGGAAAAAATGGCAAGATGGTTTTTGAGCCCTGTGTTCCGCAGCCGGAACGATTCTTATGCATGCATACATGTAGGTATTATACTTCTTTGAAAGGAGACTTGGGATACAAAAAAAAGAATCACAACATTTACAGATGTACCATCCGATCTCCAAAATCTCACTACAGTAGCATTAGTAGAATATTCAGGTGTGAGAATGAGTAAGAATATCCCACATGGAAATTCTAAATCCAATCAGGCATATGTAAGAACTGATCCCAAAGTTTTGGAAGATTGTGCATTCCATGCTAAAACCAAATCAGCTACAGAAGTCTGCTACATGATGGCAAAAGACAACAGTGTTCTTGCGGCAGCACGATTTACCCAAAAAGACCCCAAAACACCCAAAAAGACCCCAAAAGACCCAAAAAACACCCCAAAAACCCCACAACACACCCCAAAACACCAAAAAATACAACACAAACACATGAAAAATGTTCAGATATTTTTATGTCTGCTTCCTGTCATTATGTGACATAATGATGTTTCCCGTTAATTGAATAGTTATAGCGACGCAAGTAATATTAACTATACGTATTTGAGTTACTTCCCCTGCAACAAGTTTACCGTTTGCCTATTCACAAAAGTTTTATCGATAAATGGTATTTATTCTCACTCTTTCCACATTATTTGACATAGGTAGCCTATGTTTATTTTGTATTTGACAAGTGCTTTGTTCTTAAGAGGATACTGTTTGAAGTGTTAAATTCGTACTTTTTTTAACAGTCTGATTATTTCAATCTATTTTGCGTTTTTCGAGTGAATCATTTGGGTGCTTTTTTTCGAAAGTTATTGGCCCTAAAAAGGGCCGTTTTATGATACGTATTTCCTCTTAATGCTTCTGTGTGGAGGCGATGATTCTTCGGATTCTGGACATATACTTCTTTCTTCCTGTATTAACGGTGATCAGTTCACTGGTTTGAAGATGGACCAGGTCTTGTAGATAGTCAGTCGGGTACTTAATGTCTTTGAACTGTACGAAGTGCTTTCCAAATTTCTTGTGGAGAAGTTGGTTTATACGTATCCGTTGACATTCATACGCCTCTTTTGTCAGACCAGGAACTTTACTGAAGTTTCCCCTTGTGATGATTTCGGCCACCCATACCTTCTTCATTCCAGCATTATTGAATGTAAAAACCAACTCGACAATTCTTTCAAAAATCTCCCTTGGTGTAGATGTGGGTGAGATGTCATTACCTCCGACGTGGAGGAATGCAAATTCTGCACCTGTTGCTATGGCTTGCCTAACAAATCGCTGGTCCATCCTGTCTGTCCTCAAACCACCCCTGCCAAAGAATACAGTATTCACGCCAGAAATACATAGGTCTCCATCACAATGGCGCCGAAGTCTTTCAATGTAGCTGCTACCATATAGAATCAAAGTAGGCATGGTTGTTTGATTGTAATTATTACTTTTGTTTTTAAAAAAAATCCCTTAAATGGTACATATATAAGTGTGTGTCCGTCCGTGTATCTGTATGATATGACGCGCATATCAAGAAACGTATCATTCGTTGATTGGCCAGTTTTTGATATTGGTTTCTCCACATCTTCATTATTGTGACATAACGAGAGTCATTGTAGAAACACTTCTTACCACTAATTAGGGAAACCATAACAATTCTCAGCGGCTGAGTGCGTGGGTTTGTTGTTACAACGGCACCTGACCAAGCATTACTTGTGTAATCTTCTGTTCACACATGACGATGTCAAACTACCGTGGAAATATAATCGAATACCTTCGTCTTTTAATTAGTTATATTTCTATAATCTGTGAAAACGAAGGAATTGTGCAATTTAGGAAAATTTGTCCATCACGCAAACATATTACGAGCAAATTATTTAGATAATCAAATGTACCACGGACTAATATATTGACACTGGAAGTTTTTGTTGTAATTAAGTTTAATGTACATGTTGTACAATGAAGAATTACGAATTACTTATACGTGAATAACTCCAGTGTTATCAGTTGAATGTTTTTGAAGTGTTAACGTATATGAACAGCAGTGTTACAGGTGCGGTATCGCTAAGAAACCACACGTTCCGATGACGTAACGTCAGATGTTGACGCACAAACGAAAAATCGCGGATTCCCCTACATTAGCGTTATATCAAATCTAAATATGAATCAAATCATGTTATTATATAATCACCAAAACTCAGTCTTCGCGTGTTTTATTACACATATCATGAAAATTCCTATCGAACCATTTCTGTGAACTTGTATAAAAGTGTAATTACAAAATAAAGTGTTATTACGTATGTTTATGTTGGACGTGCTTTAACCTTTTTTTAAAATTCAATACAAATGAATTTAAGCAGAACATAAGAAGCCTAATTTTGTGCATTTATGATATAGAAAATACTAGTACAATTGTTGTAAAACTAGCAACAATCAATCAATCGGAAAAAAAACTATTAATCCCATAATCAGTGGTTCGCGGTAAAATGATTGCATGTTTTTCTTTCATTTAGGTGTTACGTCAATTGGGTAATTATACTGAACACCTTCAACCAATTATCCATTCGCGAAATAACACTCTAACACACATGTCACACCTGTAACAGCGTCACCCGTAACTGTGATTTCTAGGCACGTGCCGTTAATTACAGGTGTGTTATGTCAGTTGACAGCAGGTCAGACCTTCTTTTGTGGCAAGATGGTTTTTGAGCCCTGTGTTCCGCAGCCGGAACGATTCTTATGCATGCATAGGTATTATACTTCTTTGAAAGGAGACTTGGGATAAAAAAGAAGAATCACAACATTTACAGATGTACCATCCGGTCTCCAAAATCTTACTACAGTAGCATTAGTAGAATAGTCAGGTGTGAGAATGAGTAAGAATATCCCACATGGCAATTCTAAATCCAATCAGACATATGTAAGAACTGATCCCAAAGTTTTGGAAGATTGTGCATTCCATGCTGATTGTTTAAAATTGTGACAACTTGTTCAAATAATATTTATTTCAACAATTCTTTTATTACCATTTATGTTTTATGTACTGCAAATGTAATAATGCTGTCATCTGTAACATCGCGATGCAAGGGAGGTAACACATATACCATACTCTCGTAATTTCGAATTGAAGGAATTGACAGTTGATGCCGAAAAAACAGGTTACTACATTATAATATTAACTGAATATTATTTAAGTGTCGTCTGTGTTTTTGTGTGGTCTTATCAGTGTTTTTTGGGTGTTTTTGGGGGTGTTTTTGTGTGTTTTTGGGGTCTTTTTGGGTGTTTTGGGGTCTTTTTGGGTAAATTGTGCTACCCGGAATGAGTAATGTATATGTTGGCCTGGAAGCAGCTGTTCACTTAATATAAACTGAGATGAAACCTTTTAATATCTAAAGTATACTTACAATCAATGTTCTCGTATGTCATCTGCCTCATTTGTTGACATTACACAGTTATATCCTGTGTTGGCATACCAGTTTCTGTTCTCAGAAGTATTTTTAACATGAAATATCTAGATCGAAATATATTTTTAAAAGTTAAACAGCAGAGTTTTCCTGTGTCACAGTATATGTGCATGGTTATAGCTATGAAATAACAAATAAAAAACATGTTAATCACTACAACAAGGTATGACACTTTATAGTTTACCTGAAGGAAAAACGTGAGCAAGTGGTTCAGCAGGAGGTTTAGATACTTTATGTGCATTGTACCTATTGGAAAGTGTTCATGTCTATTATACTGCTAATTACTCAAATACATAAATCTGAATTAATACACTGTAGGCCCAATTCTGGGATAATCACTGCAAGGAGAGAGTGCACTTGGTGGATTTAATCTATCCGACAGCTTAGGCCTTGTTTCGCCTTAAAGCTATTTGTTGGTTACAGGTAAACTATACACAGGTGTGACATGCTACTTGTTAACTACACATATGTGTGACAGGATACATATAGTTGTGACATGATACATGTAAACTACACAAAGATATGACAGGTACAGGTAAACTACACACAGGGGTGACAGGATACTATACAGGTAAACTACACACAGGTGTGACAGGATACTATACAGGTAAACTATACACTTGTGTGACATGATACAGGTTAACTACACACACATGTGACATGATACATGTAAACTACATACAGGTGTGACATGATACAGATAAACTACATACAGGTGTGACATGATACAGATAAACTACATACAGGTGTGACATGTTACATGTACACTACATACAGGTGTGACATGATACAGGTAAACTATGTACAGGTGTGACAGGATACAGGTAAACTACACACAGGTGTGACATAATACATATAGCTGTGACATAATACAGGTTAATTAAATACAGGTATTTTTATAGTGATACAATTGTCAAGTCAAATGAATAGTTTGTGAGTTATAATACGTTTTAATTATTTGAAGGAATGATTTCTATTTATTTATTTTTTCATTTTTTTGTTCCAGATATTCTTTTCACATCAGGAGGAACAGAGGTAAGTGATATTGGAAGATTCAAGTTTGTGTGTGACAATTACAATTTTACGAGGATAGCTTGTCAAAATATAAGAGTAAGCAAAACAAATTTGATAGAATATCTAAATAACATTGCCTTTTTAGTTATTTCTCTCCAGTTTTTTCAATAAAATGTTTCTTTAAAGAACTGATGTAAAGTCATGTTGCTTTGGTGACTTGAGCTGACACATTTCCCTTCTACTGAAAGAATTCTTTTGAATAGTTAATGCTTTATTTAGAAAAGCTATAGACTCTTATAAAATATAGGTACAGAAAATATCTTTATGTAATTTGTACATAATATCCCTACATGTCATGTTTATATACAGGTAATATCTCTTTGTAATATATATTTAATATGTATGTATCTTTGTGTTATGACAGGCCAACAACATGATTTTACAGACTGCTCTCAAGCACTTTCATCTCGGTCACGAAATCACTAATGGGACTGATCCCAGTAGGGGAGACAACTCAGACCAGCTGCCCCACTTTATCACCTCCAACATGGAACATGATTCGGTGAAGCTTGTACTGGAAAACCTGGCTGAGGAGGGAATCGCTAGTATGTAATATTTAATTAAAATAACAATAAACGCTTTAGTTATACAGGGTAGCACAGTTAGACTTTTGTCTATTATACATGGTCTACATTGTACACACACACCATTAGGGCTATTACGAGATGACAGCATGCACATGTAAACAGAATACATAAAATGCCACAGAATAAAATACAAAATATAAAAAGTACTGGGGAACAAGTTTCCCTGTCATAAATATTATGTATCTTACATTTCTCGTCTTAAGGAGGTGTGGGGTGATACCGGGGTACATTAAGTTTTTGTTGGTCTGACTACATTGTACATAAGTCAGCATCGGTAGCTTATCCTGCTGATAGCTCATCTTTTCTATTGCTCATGTTTTATTGTTTACTTGCCTCATACCTTTTGATATATACAGTAAAACTTTGTTATACTGCCACCATTTGTCCATAGAAATTTTGCTATTTTGAACGGGTTAGGCGATATATTGCGGGAAGTGAATAAAGGGTTTCTTTAGAAAGCAGAAAAATTTGGACCTTGAAATGTATCGGCGGTAAACGAGGAGGCAAATGAAATGAGAGTCATTATATTGAGTTTTTACTGTAATGCCAAAGACTGTGACATTTATTCAGGTGTGTTGTCATAATGAGACAGGTATAATACAATACGTTGTCATAATGAGACAGGTATAATACAGGTATGTTGTAACAAGGAGACAGGTGTGATACAGGTATCTTGTAAAGTGCTCTTTATGGTATTAAGAATGGAAAATCTATAATACAGGACATTTTTCTGCTAAGAATGATTTTTAATACTGAAGTTTGACTGTTTCTAGCTCACCTGGAGTTAAGTTCCTGTGACTTTATATGCACAGTCCAATGTCCGCTTGTCAAGCTGTTTGATATCACCATTTCCTTAAAGTAACTTCTTCAGAACCACAAGACAAAGAGTCATGATATTTGACATGTAGCATGCCAGGATGAAGGAGTATAAGATTTGTTCAAGTAAATCACCTTGATCTACATTTTACATTTAAGGTCAAATGAGTCAAATGTGTTATGAAATTATTACAAGATTTTCTATTAAACTGTAAGGCCCAGAGTCATGATTTTTATCATGTAGCTGACTTAGGTATAGATTAATGACCTTGACCCACTTTCAGTGTCACAATTAAAAATTAAAAATAGAATAAAATGTTTTTTTCAAGGACAGAGTGCCGAGTCATGATATTTGTTTGTAGTTCTCTGGATGATCAGAGCCATCAATTCCTTCAGCATTTTGTAAGCTCTTGTAAAATAATGAATAAGACATTTACTAGGAGCACATATGTATACATGTATAATGATACTGTATTTCTTGTGTGAAATCTTAAGGCTGATTACAGTAATGTAGTCTAAACTTTTCTATCAATACATGTACAAGAGACCATGCTTTGGTAGAAACAATATACATGTAGCTAGAGTTTATGAGTTTGTCCAAAGGAATAATGTTATATATTTTCAGCCAATAAAGGAGATCTTTGAGAGTATCCGTCACATCAATTTGACTCGTAAAAACCTGCCACGAATCCTGCTGCACACAGATGCAGCCCAGGCTATTGGTAAAATGGAGGTAGACGTTGTGGAAATGGACGTGGATTATCTAAGCATTGTGGGCCACAAGGTATTATTTTTATATCAGATCATTACATTCTGATTCCCCATTTTGTGTATGTGTTGAATATATTTTGTTAACACTGGTTGATTATGTGCATATATCCCTTAATTCACAAGTGTTTTATATAGGTTCTTGTTGCTTCAGTTCTATGGCCCACGGATCGGAGCCGTGTTTGTGAGAAACCTAGGAAGTAAAGAGGTACCTTTATACCCGATGTTGTATGGTGGAGGACAGGAGCGTAACTTCAGACCAGGGTAAGTATAGAGGGGTCAAAAGGAAATTTTATCATTATAAGTACTGTACCTCCTGGGAGCAGTAAGGTTTCTCGGCTGTCATTTAGCAGCAGGCAGTTCCTCTAACAATAGGGTCAAATAAGTGCTAAGTTCAAGATATCCTGATAAAACTTGCAATTTATCTGCATTACCCACAGACGATGTACAGTGCACTGTCGTTAGGTCACTGTGACCTTGACCTCAAGGTCAAAGGTCAAATAAGTGCAAAGTTTTCAGGAATATCTTGTCTGGGCCGTAATTTTTAAACTGTTAAAGGACTCGCACAACTAAATCATTTATTTACTATATGTTGTTACTAAGCTTTTGAGCTAATAGTGTTAATATTTGAATTTCAACACTAGTGACAACTGTCTAGATTTACAGAAATTGATACATAATTGACAAAGGATTCAAAAGGCAATTTTTGACGGGTTTAGTGGCATATAAGACCTCTACTGGCGTCTGCTTTTGACAAAGTTTACAATAAAATAACATAATAAAATCTACTAAACTATACTATAGGTTCAATATCTGCAGCCTATTTAAATTACTCAGAGGCACTGTATTCAATCAGAACAAATTTGAATTAATCTATCTACATTACAGGACAGAGAACACTGGTATGATAGCTGGTCTGGGAAAGGTATGTGGTCTCACTTGTCAGACTGGCATGTTGGTTAGCAGATTTCATAGAAGACTTAATTACAAATGTGTGCATTTTCATTGTACTGCCTCTAAACAACACTATGAAATGAAACAATATCACCATGAACTAATATACTGAATGTTTACCAAAAATTGGACATTATTTGGATCTTTTTGTCATGCTATTTTGAAACTCAATGCTGTATTGTACACGAGTCTAAATTGTATTATTTTTTCACATGATGTCTTATGTACACAGTGTAAGACTAATGACAACGGTTGAATCTTACATACTTGTTTGTACAGGCCGCTGAACTTGTGGTACAGTACCTAGACAACTACAGCAAACATATGGCTACAGTGAGGGACTACCTCGAGACACGACTCCAGGTACTGTATTAACAGGAGATTTACCACTATGTGTGACTCCTGGTACTGTATTAACAGGAGATTTACCACAATGTGGGACTCCTGGTACTGTATTAACAGGAGATTAACCACAATGTGTGACTCCAGGTACTGTATTAACAATAGATTTACCACAATGTGTGACTCAGGGTACTGTATTAACAGGAGATTTACCACAATGTGGGACTCCAGGTACTGTATTAACAGGAGATTTACCACAATGTGTGACTCCAGGTACTATATTAACAGTAGATTTACCACTATGTGTGACTCAGGGTACTGTATTAACAGGAGATTTACCACAATGTGTGACTCCAGGTACTATATTAACAGGAGATTTACCACAATTTGGGACACCTGATACTACATTAACAGGAGATTTACCACTATGTGTGACTCCAGGTATTGTATTAACAGGAGATTTACCACAATGTAAGACTCCAGGTACTATATTAACAGGAGATTTACCACAATGTGTGACTCCAGGTACTATATTAACAGTAGATTTACCACTATGTGTGACTCAGGGTACTGTATTAACAGGAGATTTACCACAATGTGTGACTCCAGGTACTATATTAACAGGAGATTTACCACAATTTGGGACCCCTGATACTACATTAACGGGAGACTTACCACTATGTGTGATTCCAGGTATTGTATTAACAGGAGATTTACCACAATGTGTGACTCCAGGTACTATATTAACAGTAGATTTACCACTATGTGTGACTCCAGGTACTGTATTAACAGGATATTTACCACAGTGTGTGACTCCAGGTATTGAATTAACAGGAGATTTACCACAATGTGTTACTCAAGGTACTGTATTAACAGGAGATTTACCACAATGTGGGACTCCAGGTACTGTATTAACAGTAGATATACCACATTGTGTGACTCCAGGTACTGTATTAACAGGAGATTTACCACTATGTGTGACTCCAGGTACTGTATTAACAGGAGACTTACCACAATGTGTGACTCAGGGTACTGTATTAACAGGAGATTTACCACAATTTGGGACTCCAGTTATTGTATTAACTGGAGATTTACCACTATGTGTGACTCCAGGTATTGTATTAACAGGA